TCCCGGTTCAAACTGTTCTTCTCGTCAGTAATGGTCTCGATGGTCTGGAGAGCGGTCTGGAGCTGGGCCTGACTCTCGTTCCAATCGTCGAGGTAACCGATCACAGAAAGGCCATCATCTACGTCACAAACATGTTTGGCGTGGATGTCGATGTGGAGAGTGCCCTCGAGAATCTCCACGGGCTCTTCCATGCAGAGAAGGAAGTCCATGGGATCACGGACTTGAGGACCTTGATCGTCGGTGGGATCGTCAATACAGCGGGAGCGTAGCTCCGACGGGACCCATTTAACATGAAGCTTGTGATTCTGGTAGGCGAGGTCGGTAGCTGACCAGTTCTTGATTACTCGAATAAAATTGGGGAACGACGACTCGCCAAGGTGAAACTGGAGAAAGGACGGCAGGTTGTCGAGCCCGTTCATCGCAAGGGGAAGATAGCGCTGGCGAACCACCACAAAATAGCATCCATCTTCCTCGGCTGGTAAGATCATGACGAACAGAGGGCTTGGTCTGTCGTTGGAGAGGTCCATCTGAGCAAGCTGGTCGATCCAGGCATCGTCGTCCTCGGGAGACTTGGGTGCCATGAGGAGGGACTTTTTCTTGTCCTCCACAGGTTTTGGAGTGGAAGCAACCAAAGACTTTTTGAGTGGTCCACTCGAAGGTCGGGGGACTGTCATCATCATCGTCGTCACCAGACGACTCGCTATCACTCAGCACGTCTAGGGCCTTGGTCGGTGGCTTCTTGGGTTCTGCATCCTCCGCCTTCTTGGCCTGGGCGCCCGTGACGATGACGGCAAGAAGGAGTCGTAGGAGGGTGAGCCTTCCAAAGTTCTCAGTTGCAGCAGAAGTCAGCATGCCCGGGAGTTCGATGGGAATCCGGTAGATTGCAGTCAGAACCCGCGTCGCCCGAGTCCTTTCCCGCATGGTTTCGATCAAGGACTGAAGCTGTGGGCACTGTTTGCCAAGGACCAATTCGTCTTTCGCCGCCTGCCAATCTCTGGTGTAATGGGTCGGTGCTTGGAAGGGAGCACAACTGGGCTTACGTAGGTCCAAATTTGCAGCCAAAATCAGGTCAGCCTCGCGAGCGAAGGCTTTTGGAACAAAGACGTGCCAGCACAGGAGTCCTCGAGAAGACCCAGTGAATTTGGCAGAGAAGAACCGTGGATTGTTGACCCATTCTTGCATGAGGCCGATTGGGTACTGGAAGTCGCAGAGACGCATCAAGTCTTTGCAGTACGGACCAATCGCCAATTCTTGTGGTAGCAACGGGAGGAAGCCAAGCCGGACCATGTCGGAAACCTGGATCGGAGTCGGGAAGACGCCCGCCCGAGGCTCACTGGACAAGACGGAGCGAAGTTCTTGCATGAGAATGGGAGGGGCAGTGTCCATCCCGAACCGCATGCGAGTCTTGTAGGTCTTGGACCCAGTCTTCCCAGGTTTGTTGAGGATGTAAGGATTGCCGAAGTTGGGATCGAGGTAGATCTTCAGGTGGGCCCAATCCTTGGCTTTTTTGTCAAACTCCTTCAAGTTCCGGATCCACAGTTGTTGTCGGGTGAATTGGCCATCAGCAAAAGGTAGAAGGACGACCTTGGAAGTGATATCGCCCCAGATGCCGGAAGCAAACTGATGGAAGGCATTGTAGGCAGTCTGGACTTGATTGGACTCGGACGAACCGACGCCCTGCCAATCAAAGACAACGGACACGTTGAAGATGGTAATGTGCCGAAAGGGAGAGGCATTTCAATGGACAGCGAGAAGGCGCATCAATCGTTCGTCGGTGGTGAGAGGAACCGCACAGACGCCTTCACTACTCCGCTAGCTGGGACTCCAGTCACGACTGAAAATCGATGCTGTAGCTCTCTTCGAATCTCTTTAGCTCTCTTAGAGATTCGATGCAGCAACTCTTTCCAAGTAGTTTCAAGTAGTGATAATCTCACAATTTATTAATTCGATTACTTATCAACCAACTTCGTATAAAACTACCTTTATTGATTCAAAGCCCAATCCAGAGGCCTTGCTCCTGTGGAGCCGTCTCAGGATTTTAACATCTCCCTCTGCAAGTCTAAAGGGCCCATTGCATGGTACAAAGTACTCAAAACGGCCCACTGAATCAAGATCCGTACATCCCTTGTTGCCGTCAAAGAAACAACCAAGTTCAGAACATGGCCGACAATCCTCCTTAGGGAGGCAACGACCCAGACCCAGAAGTTGTGGAAGAAAACCAACAACAACCTGCACTAGCAGGCAATGCTGATGAAGCCGCGCAAGCCAATCAACAAGACGGACAACAGGCCAACCCTCCGGTTCCCGATCTCCTAAACAACTTGATCGCAGCAGCAGCCGTCGCGACAAACCCATTCAATCAACAAGGTCCGCAACAAGGTCCGCAACAAGGTCCGCAACAAGGTCCGCAACAAGGTCCGCAACACGGTCCACAACAAGGTCCGCAACAAGGTCAGAATGTCGCCGGTCAACCGCAAGGTGGAACCAACAATGCTGCGAATCTACTAGGGCAGCTATTGGCTCATCCACAAGGAATGAATCTACTAGGTCAGCTCATCACAAGTGCGACCAATCCAAATGCGACCAATCCGACTACCCATACTCCCCAATATGGAGCTTTTCCATCGACTTCAGGAACTACTCCTATCGACATTGGAACTTCCTACGGCATCAAACAGTACTCAAAGGCAGTCGATTCGCTCTACTCTAGTTGTGAAGACAAGTTCGATTTGCAACCAGCAAGACCACTAAATTTTATCGAGAGAATCCAAACTAGAGCCCTTGAGGCGGGATGGACCATCATCTTCCAGGTTCAAAACTCTGCAAGAAATAACGCTACTGACGACTTCCCGCAACTTCATGGACAGATCTCTATTGAAGATGTTTGACGCCATGAGCAAGCCTATCTTGTTCAAGCTGACAGTCGCAGCAAGCAAAGCTCTCTCCACTTGCAGCTCTGCATCTACAAGTCGCTCACAAAATCTGCCCAAGCTAAAGTCTTACCGGACAAAAATCTCTTCACCATCAATGGAATGAGAGGCGGATTGGCGTATCTGAAGGTGGTCCTTCTGAGGACAACTCCCGCTAGCAACTCCAATGTGAACCACATCTGACGTCAACTTACAAAACTTCCCGAATACATGACCAAGGTTGGACCAAATGTTGAAAAGTTCAATCTTCACGTTTCCGAACAACTTGAGAACCTTGCCTGAATCACCCATGAGAGATAATACTGTAGTTGCGCACTCTTCAAATGGTTTACGGTATTCAATTACCGTTTCATTTCCTTTCTGACGACAATTCACCCACTTCTGTAGTGCTTCCCACAATGTAATGGGTTCCCAGTCTGTCACATCACTGGTCGTCATAAATTTATTGATGCGTCTCAATAATTCAATAGGATCACCCTTGATTTTCTCATTGTAATCGACCTCCTGCAGAATCTTGTCCTTCATTTTACTGGTAACAAATGATTCCATAACCAGCGAATGCACATGCCACTTCGCTTTGCTCCAGTATCGCTTTTGTCGATGATATTCGACACTCTCAGTTTTCAATTCTTCTTTCTTTGCCTCTTTCTCAAGTTCGTCTTCTTGACCAGTTAAATTCAATTTGTGTTTCAATTCATCCCAGTCTGGTTCATTTCATTCTTTGATGGCAGATATCATAATCTGGGGGTACTCCAATCCCTCCATTCCAATTCGTTCGATGAGGCTTCTTGTTACATCGGCATAAGGAAAATCTGGGTCGCTCGGATGATACTTGGGCGATCGTTTTTCTTTCTTTTTTGCATTCTGTGAATTGCCACATGTCTGGCGATTTCCACCAAATTGATTGCCGCCGCGAACTCCTCTTGTACTTTGGTTGCGGCGCGTCATTTTCTCTTTTATAAACTTTCTTCAACTATCGATTGAGTGTCAGATGGACTTGCTCTACAGACCTGAATGGGAGCCTCAACGCCCTATCTGTTTCAATGAGCAATCCCTGAGATCGAATCTACGTGGGCTATGGTCTGCCTTTGGGCACCAGCAACTCTGGGCCTCAGCCTCTGGAATAAGCAGTAGTCTTAATCAATCAAAGGTCTTACTTTTTATCTCCTATACTTGCTTGGACCTTAACGTCCACAATACTATTCTTGCCAGAACTCAATTGATAGTGAGACTCTCGATTGAAGTTCAAAATCATCATTCAAATTCTCACAATTCTCATTCTTGATCACCTTTCTACGTGATGACGCGTTCGGACATACTGCGTTTCATATTACGCACGATTGACACTCACGTCACTGCCGCGTCACGTCACGTAGACCATTGATCAATAATCGACCAATATGATTGCTCAATATATCAATACGTCCAACACACACACACCACAACCAGTATTACACGACCCAAAACATGACCCAAAAAGCATAGTGCAGTAGGTCGAAGCACACAGGACGATACAAGTTGACCCAAAAGAGTAGCCAACAACAAATATGGTATGTCGCAGCATATGATAAAAGTTGACAAAAGAGTAGCCAACAAGAGTAGCCAACAAGAAAGACCCAAACAGTACAGTATGTCGCAGCATACTGCGCTTGTTGACCCAACAAAAGCATAGCCAACAACAAAGTATAGTATGTCGCAGCATACCCTACAACGTTGAATAAAAACCCAACTCCCAAGACAAAGGACCAGATATAGCAACCCCCTTACTCCCCAAAATACGTGTGTACAACGACTAAGATGAGGACTGATTCTCCCGTTCTGACCGTTGTACCGCGAAGCACCTAGTCAAACTTTGGACCTGGACGCAACTGCCAGACACTTGAAGCCGCTCGCCAGCAACCTGGACGTCAGAGAGAATCCTGCAGCCCAATTTGCAATTGAAGGTTATATGGCGATTTTTCTTCGGCTACCTTGTTCGGTGCCAGCAGCCATTCATCAAGAAGAGGGAGGTGAAAACAGACCAAGATGAGACGTTACAACAGAGTCGCCTAAATGGAAGAAGAGGGGACGTAACG